ACCTAGTATCAAATCAATTAAAAGTTGTATTATGATAATAAGGCCATTAAAATGTAAGAGAACTGTTGTAGTATAAGACAAATGCAGTAGAATAGACAGTCGTGTTATAATCTTGGTACAATCTCTTGTGTCTTGACATCATTTGCAACAAAAATTCTATTTTAAAATCTAATTGGGTATTCTTCTGTGGTTGCGTGTCTGATGCAGAGTGGCTCGCACCACAGGCTACCTGCTCTTCGTGCTCCATCTCAACGCCTGCATCTTCTACGTCGCCTCAGTTCACCAGGGTCTTGGATCAACTACGTGGGTTTATGACGGAAAGGGCTCGGCGTAGGTTCTTCTCACTTTGTTTAACCGTTCATGATAAAGAGTCATTTTGATGCGAGTGGTGTTGCTGGAGCTGTCCATGGTGCTGAATAACTGAACACCCTGTCCCTGTCCAGGTACCTGCGTTGTTACTACTTTGCTGTCCGCAGTCTGATCAACATCGGGGGTCTTCCAGAGCCTGTGACCACCTTTGAGATCATGTTTCAGATGACAAACTTCTTCATTGGTGTCTTTGTGTTCTCAAGTTTGATTGGACAGGTAGGAGGACAGTTTTTACCTTATTTCTTTACTTATATCTTTCATGCAACACTTGTGTTTTGTTGGTTATTCTTTTTAATACAAGGTGTTCTTTGGGTGTCTGTATTGTGTTGTATATTTTAACCTAACTTTCTTTCAGATGAGAGATGTCATTGGAGCAGCAACAGCAGGACAGACATATTTCAGGGCATCGATGGATGGCTGTGTTGCCTACATGAACACATATACAATCTCCAAGATCGTCCAGAACAGAGTCCGCACCTGGTACAACTACACGTGGGCCGCACAGGGCATGCTGGGTAAGTTTAAAAAAACTGACAGAAAAAGTCAAGACCCACAAAGAAGACCTTCAAGTGTGTGTACACAGATTAACCTCCACTCATGAAAACACACTCTCTGTCCTCTCCAGATGAGTCGGAACTTCTAGACAAGATGCCTCTGGTGATGAGAACCGCCATCGCCGTGGATATCAACCTGGCTACTTTTCAGAAGATAGCACTGTTCCAGGTGACGAAGCTTTCACTTTGTCCTCTGTTAGGAGTGTGGTCTTTAGTAAGATCTGGCAGCAATAAGGCCTGTTTGGTCCAAGACAAAACAACCAAAGCTACAATAAAAGGAAAAATACAAAATAGTGACTGAGGTCACGTGAAACCAACCTTTCTGATAATACCATTCATTCATGTCAGTCATTTTAAACAAAACAATTGAGGTTTTGCCATATTGCTATATTGAAAGTTATATCAGTAGTGGTAGGTAAAAAAACACCCTATAAAACAAAGTTTCTTTAGATACTGCATTATTTTGCAACTTCTTTTGTCGTCTGATATGATATACAGTATATGATAAAAAAAAGTCATAGGTTAGCATGTCATCTGAAATATGATTAAAAAAAAGTCATATGTTAGCATGTCGTCTGAAATATGATAATAAAGTCATAGGTTAGCATATGTTCCAAAATATGATAAAAAAGTCATAGGTTAGCATGTCATCTGAAATATGTTAAAAAAGTCATAGGTTAGCATGTCGTCCGAAGTATGATAAAAAAGTCATAGGTTAGCATGTGTTCCAAAATATGATAAAAAAGTCATAGTTAGCATGTCGTCTGAAATATGATAAAAAAGTCATAGGTTAGCATGTCGTCTGAAATCTGATAAAAAAGTCACAGGTTAGTATGTCGTCCGAAATATGTTAAAAAAGTCATAGGTTAGCATGTCGTCTGAAATATGATGAAAAAGTCATAGGTTAGCATGTCGTCTGAAATATGATTTTAAAAAAGTCATAGCTTAGCATGTAGTTCCAAATATGATAAAAAAGTCATAGGTTAGCATGTCGTCTGAAATATGTTAAAAAAGTCATAGGTTAGTATGTCGTCCAAAATATGATAAAAAAGTCATATGTCTTTATTATGTCATCCAAAATATGATAAAAAAGTCATAGGTTAGCATGTCGTCTGAAATATGATAAAAAAGTCATAGGTTAGCATGTCGTCTGAAATATGATAAAAAAGTCATAGGTTAGCATGTCGTCTGAAATATGATAAAAAAGTCATAGGTTAGCATGTCGTCTGGAATATGAT